GCATACAGATTTTGATTAAAAGAAAAAACCATCTTGGCCAGAAGTTGAAGAAACTAACCACAGCAGCACATATATCTAATTTAATCACATCCCAAAAATATTGGAAAAATAGAGGGGCATACCATCTTAACCTGGAGCTTTTTATGGGTCCATGTTGAGCAAAGCCTCTTTGATCTCCTCTTCAATTACAGGAGCCACAGGTTCTTCATTTAAGGTATTAGAGATGGAATTGGGATTAAGTTCTAAAAGCTCAATCTTCCCTGTAGATCCTTCAGAATTGAAAAGGTTAACATAGAATCTGCAAACACACTTCTGTATCTCCTGTTTGGATTCACAAATCTGCCTTCCTTCATCCATCAATCAATCTTGTAATTGAGTTTATTTTCCTCCTCTGCAGAGTCAAAGCATGGAAGAATTAGAGTTAGTATCTCCCTCCTTGAGCCACTGTGATATGGCCTTCTGCTGTCAATACTCAATTGTTCTAATCTTTCTGATATTCTCTTTTCCTCCTTTTCATTCTCATATTTGAATAAGCTACTCCATTACAGTAAAGCCACTCTTGTATCTTTTATCTTCTCACTAGGATCACTGATTTCATTCCAAGCAAACATATGATGAAATTTCATTAAAAATGTCCTTAAAACAAAGATTACACGTATCATAAGCTTGTACACATTGTAAAAGAGGTAAAAAGAAATACGAAGACATAAACCACTTTTACAAATCATATGTATATATTTGCGTTACCTTTCCAAGAGCCAACCCCACTACAACTATAAGTTAAAAAAACATTCTAGAGTTTTCCAAATCCCAACTAAGCAAACAACATCACACTAAAAAGAATCCAAAAAGAAAAAAGAAATATTAATAACAATTACAACAGCTTCACTTTAGTCCTGTCTCTTCTCCTCCTCCTCCTCCCCATAAACTTGAGCACCTCATCAATAACTAGGACCGGAGCCGACAAAACCACCACTAAAACCCACTCATTCAAACCCAACGGCACCACTCCAAACACCTTCGCCAGCAAAGGAACGTAAAGCACCAAACCATGCAAACCCAAAGACACCGACATGGCCACGAGCAGCCAGGGGTTCCTCCACGGCGGCATCCTCACCAAACTGTTGTCCTCCGAAAGGGCATTTACGGAATTCAACATCTCGATAGTCACCAGCACCGACAGTGACATCGTCATCGCCTTTGCTTTCCCGGCCGTGAAGTAATCGCAAGGGTTCGAGAAGGCGATCGTGCGCCCGCCCGCGACCCGGAATGGAGACGGGTCGAAATTGGTCCACAAGGGGCAACTGCTCCAATCACGAAGCTGGGATAGGGTAACTAAGGTGTGCCCGTCCTCACACAAGTTTATCCCCAGGAATGTTGCCCGTGTGTACCACAGGACGAACACGCCAACTGTTGCTATGCCCACATACGACCCGATCACCTGCAAAAAATATTAAATAAATAAATATATTGATTAAGGCTATGTTTGGTAGACAAATAAGCTGGCTTGTAACTTATTTGGTTAGCTTATAAGCTTCGTGCTTCTTTGGGTAGTATTTCAAATAAGCTCCTTAAAATTTTTATTTCAACTAGCTTATCAGCTAATTTTACCAAACACTT